GGTTCTCCTCCCAAGGAATTTACAACCTTGTTAAAAACCAACAAATACTAGACAGATCAAAACAGGGCTGGATGGTACAAGCCAGTCACTGCTGGAGCAGGAGGTAGGCAGTTGGGTTTGCGGGGAAGACATAGGAAGATTTCCCGGGGGAGGACCCATCTGAGCTCAAACCCCCGAGCAGAGGGTGGTGAAGGAATTTGGGGCTGAGGAAACTGCCTGAGCAGAGCTTCGACAGGGCAGTGACCCTGCAGGACCACAACCCCTGGGGGGACGCAGAGAGAGGCACCATCAGAATGTGGGCAGGGCCTTTCACAGACCCTTAAGCCCTAGAATCTAACCGTCAAGGAAACATTAAATGTATTACAAGAGTGGAGTAACCCGGGGCACCTGGGTGGTTCAGTCGTTGAGCGTCTGCCTTTGGCTCAGGTCATGATCCCAGGGTCCTGGGATCGAGCCCCGCATCGGGCTCCCTGCTCGGCGGGAAGCCTGCTTCTCCCTCTCCCTCTGCCCCTGCTTGTGTTCCCTCTCTCCCTGTGTCTCTCTCTGTCAAATAAAAATAATAATAAAAAAAAAGAGTGGAGAAACCCATGAGCCACTCTGTCCTGTGGCAGCAGCATGACACTTCCTCTTCAAATTCGTGATCAATCATCTTGAGAGAAAATGCTCCTCGCTCCCAAGAGAACAGACGACCCCATAAACAGACCGTCGGCCTTCTCCGCCTGTGGTGACTTCTTACACAACGCCTCACATCACTGCAGCCCTCTGACTCCAGCCGGGGGAGGGCAGAGGGGAAAGAGGGAAGGAGCGAAGTTTTTGAAGACTTCAACATCCCACTGAAGGCACCCACCCCGGAGAGGACCCTCAAGGTTAGAGAGAGTTCGAAATACCCCCTTGATGCTCACGGGCTTCTCCGGCTCCGGCCCATTTCTCTGTTCCCTTCAGGGTAAAAATTCTCTCAAGAGTTGTCTCTAACCCCTCACCTTTAGCTTAAAAAAAAAATCCTTTTTTTTATCAAAGTAGAGTTGACAGGTGTTACGTTTGTGTCAGATGTACAACAGCATGATTTGACCAGTCTGTACGTTCTGCTGTGTGCCCCATGAGTATAGCTGCCCTCTGTCCCCAACACCGCCATTACCACACCACTGACTACATTCTCTGTGCTGTGCCTTTTGTCCCTGTCACTTACATCCCCTCTTAAATTTCTTTCTGTCCCCACCTCTCCCTTGAAACTGTTCCCATCAAGCCCCCAATAACAACTTCCCTGTCACCAGATCCAGTGAGCTCTTTCCTGTCACCACTCTGTCTGGTCTCAGTAGCTGCCTCCTGTCTTCTAGAAACACTCTCCACTCTCAGCTTCAGGGACCTTCTTGGTTTCCCTCCTACCCCACCGGCCATCCCTTCTCAGTCTATCTTGCCCGCTACTTTTCCTCCAATTCTAAGTGTAACTCAGCAGCAGCATCTGGGAACCTGTGAGAAATGCAGATCCTTGGACCCACCCCTCCCAGATCTACGGATCAGAATCTCTGCGGTGGGGCCCGGGTGACTCTCACGAGCCACTGAGAACCGGGGATGGAAAACCGCAGGCGTTGCTGGCTGTTCAGAGCAGATTCCTCTTCTCTCTGGCTACACTTTCTCCCTTGATGTTATCGTCCAAGCCCATAACTTTGAACACGATCTACAGACTGAGAACTTCTAAATGCACATCTTCGGCACCAACCCACCCAAGCTCCAGAATCCCCAGGTGTACCCATCTGGGGGCGACACGGGCATCTCAAATTCAATGCGTCCAAGATTGAAGGAACTTCTCTAAAACCTGTTCCCTCTAAAACTGGGTCTTCCGCCATTTCGTTACCATTTCAGATTGAAGTACCTCCTCTGTTACCACACTAGATCAAGCACCATTTTCTCTCTCCTGGATGGACCACTGCAAAAGCCACCTACCAGGCCCTGTTTCCACTTTTGCCCCACTGGGCCCCACGCCACAACCAGAGTGGTCTTTTTGGAACTTAAATCAGGTCATGTCATTTCCCTGCTCCATCTCCAAGGGCTTCTATCACATTTGATTAAAATCTAAACACCTTGGGCGCTTGGGTGACTCAGATGGTTGGGTGTCTGCCTTCGGCTCAGGTCATGATCCCAGGGTCCTGGGATCAAGTCCTGCATCGGGCTCCCTGCTCCTTGGGAGCCTGCTTCTCCCTCTGCATCTCTCTCTGTCTCTCATGAATAAATAAATAAAATCTTTAAAAATAAATAAATAAATAAATAAAATAAAATCTAAACACCTTGTTATGGGCTCTCTGGCCCTGCATGCCTTGACCATTTTCTATGTAGCTTCCTGTATTCCCTTTGGTGTCTGAGGTCAAAGACTACAACTATATAATCCACACTAGGTGCTCTATAAATTATTTGTTGAATGAAATAATTCTCCTTTTGCATATAAGTAAACTGAGACTTTGACTTCCTTAAATTCTCCGTTATTTGCTGAGAATGAGCCACGTGACATTGACAAGTACCTTCTAGCCAGGACACGGGAGATGGATGCAAAAGGAGATTCTCAAAGCACTTGACGGTGCTGTGAACTTCAGCACAACAGGTGCCCAAAGAGTCCACAAGATGAAGCCCCAGAGGACAAACCTTAAACTCCACTCCACACCAGTCCAGAGAATGGCCTTCCCTGTTCATAAGGGGGTATGATAGTTGTCGTGATCAGGGAGGTAATCGTGAATGAGGATGGGATAAGGAATGATGTAGGGCCATTTGCAAAATCTTCCTCCTGTGGGCTGCCTACCCCTGGTGCTCTTCATGAGGTCAATAAAAGCCTCTAAGAATCTATAGGCCAGGCCACCAACCCTATTATGGCAGTTTTTAAAAATGGCCACAAATTCCTGGATACTCCTCCCATTGAGAAGTGGGGTCTATGTCCGCTACCCTTGAATCTGGATGGACATATGACTACTCTGGTCAATAGCTTACAGTGGAAGTGATGTTCTGTGATTTCCAAGACTAGGTGGGAAGTGGCTAGGCAGCTTCCACGTCGTTGCTAGAACTCTCACATCCTAAGAAGCCATGTGAGAAGTCCTTCAAACCTGAGACCAGCAGGCTCGTGGGAAGCCAGGCCATGTAGAGAAGCCACGCATAGGCCTTCCGATAGGCACATGTGATCTTCAAGTCTTCACTGCTCAGGTGCCAGGCATGCAAGTGAAAGAGCCCTCCAGGGATTCCAACCTCCCTCAGACTTCGAGTCTTCCTAACTGCGGCCCCAGACATCATGGGAGAAGCCAAGTGCCCGCTGTGCCTGTCCACATCCCCGCCTACCTACTCATCCACGGGCATAAGAAAACGGTGGTGGTTATAAACCACTAAGTTTTATGGGTAGTTGCTACATAGCAATAATAGCCAGATTAGGACATAAGGCAATCGCTTTGGGCTCCCTAATCCCTCCAAGAAATCCTCTGCCTTTGAGCCTCTTCCTGCTGGGAGAACATTTGGCCAGTAGACACAGGATCCTTTTGAGAAAAAAAAAATAATAATAATAATAAAAGCTGAGTTTTAGGGTCTTCTAACCAAGCTTTATAGAGTCCCTCCTGCCAGGGGGAGGCCAGCCCTTTCCTCCTTCTGATCCGGTCACCTACTCTTGGCTCCAGCCCAGCTTAAGACTCAGAGAGATGCTTCACTGCCCCCCTCCCCGGCCCAGTTCACCTGGCAATAAGCCATCTCCAAGGAAAGAACATAAGGCTCTAAAAGTACTGTCAACCTAATCATTATGTAAGACTGAATGTATAGAAAACAGCCACAGTATTGTTGCCTAACGTTCCTTTCTAACTGGTCCAAATCCATTTGGTCTGTTACTGAATCACCCCATGGGATAGCCATCCATGTTTTCCAGACCTATCATTTCCCCTGCCCAGCTGACTTTTCAAGTGCCCACCCACATTCACATAAACATCACCCTGCAACTGTTTCACATCGCTATTTTCTGGCTTCTCCCCTTCCTGCCCACTGGTCCCCTCCCACTTGAGTGATCCACCCTGGGATATAGGTATGTAATCCAAATCCCATTTCCAATGGGTGCCTGGATATTTTTAAACCTCTTTTCTTACAAGCTTAGTGGGGCCTCTTGCCCATAACAAGGGGACTAGATGTCCCATTTTTCCCAAGACAGTCTTGGTTTAAGCCCACTTAATTCATACTGGTGCCCCCTTTCACTTTAAAAGTGATCCAATTTGGGTAATAATTTAGACGATTCCCCAAACCCTAATTCCCATCCTTCTATCACTTCATCCCTGGCCATCCTTTACATGAAACAAACCTCTACCTAATTTCTTAGCAGGAATGATGAGCCAGGACACACCATTCTGTTTTATACAAGGTACCCCAGGTAATGTGAGTGGACTTGTTAAATGGAGTACATTTTCCTCATTTGGGAGGTCTACTCTAAATCATCTCTCCTGCATAAAATAAGGAGCAGAAACTGAGTCAATGAAAGAAAGGGTGGTGGCCCATGTCCTTCCTAGGCCTCCAATTTTAAGAATTTATGTGAAAATTCATTAATCCTGGGCTCAATCCAAAGTAGCAAAAATCTTTTCCTCTTTAGAAATTTCTGGCTACCAAAGTTCCAAAAATTGCCTTCTCATTCCCTAACGTCTCCTTTTCTCCATTATGTAACGGGGGAGTTGAGGCTTCGGGCCGAATTTCTTTTTAAAGATGATTTTTACAGTCAATGAGCAACGTCAGGGAGTGGTGACACCGGGAGGCGGTATCAGCCGGTGCGAGTTTAAGCGAATCCCAACCCATTTTCACTGGCGACTCAGACGCCCGGGGGTTCTTCGCAGGTCTGCACCTTTTCTTGTAAGCCCCCACCGCCCGCCCGCGGGAGCACGGGAGCGCGCTGAGACCGCGTGGTCATTGGTCCGCGCGCCGACCTCGGCCCGCAAGCGCCGCCGCCTCCCTTCCCCGCCCCCGGCCCTCCTCCTGGGCGGTGCTTGTCGCCAGCCTCCGCGCCAGTCGCTGACAGCTCCGGCACTGCGAGCTTCTCCTCTCAGAAGAAGGCAGGTAAACAGCCGGGTGGCCTTTTCAACTGGCAGCGCAGGGCGCGGGCGGGGGTCCGGAGCCCTGGGGGGCGGCGGCGGGGCGCCGCGGAACCCGACAGCGCGAGCCGGGGGCCGACCTTGGCAGTGAGGAGGGGAGGGGGCTTCCCTGCGGGCGCGTGGCGCGTCCGGCCTGCCCCAGGGTGCGCGTTGGTTTTCGGGTGACGCCGCTTGGTTTTGCTTTTCGGGTTGGGATTGGGGGCGGAGGGCGCGGCTGGCCGGGCCCCTGGGGAGGGGTGGCGGTGTGCCGCGAGGTCTGATCCTCCCTTACGCAGGTCCGCGGCCCGAGGGGCCGAAGGTCCGGGGAAGTGGGGGCGATCGCCCCGGGCGAACGCCCCTGGCTTCGGGGAGACGAGCCGGGGGGTCGCGGGGCTCCCGGCCGCCAGCCAGTTGGTCGCCCTCCCAGCCGGCGGGCAGAGGCCGGGGACGCCCGGAGGGTGCGCGGAGTGGGGGTGGGGGAGCGGGCGCCCGCCCAGGGCCAGGGCCTCGGCGGGAGAGGAGTCCGGGGTGCCTGGGGGCCCGCTTCCCCGTCGAACTCCTCCGGAGAGGCGGCAGCTGTGGTCTAAGCCCTCGGCGGAGCGGCCCTCGAGCGGGCGGGCGTGGGCGGGGCCTCGGCCGGGTGGGGCCTCGGGGTGGCCGCGTTCTCCCTCTCGGGCCCGCGAGTGCCAGGCTTCAGGGGACAGATGTCCCCTGCCCCTGATCATGATTATCTTCACGGCTGCGTATTTTTCTTTCACATAGAGCATCACGGTTTAATAAACAGTTCCCCACATGCCGAGCATTTGAGATGTTTCCCTTTTCCTTGCGAAAAACTCCAGGTGGAACGGGATTAAAAGATTTTTACAAATCAAATTACCAGAAAAAAATAGGAACAGAAAATTGAATAAAAAAGGTCAGACCTCTGGAAAAATGAACAACTCTCTCTGACGTTATTAAGAAGGAAGAGGAAAATCACCGGTGAAAAGGAACAATTTAACCTACACAACCACCGAGGAGCTCTTAAAATGAAAAAGAACTAGCTGGAAAGGGAAAGAAAGCAGAGAGCTAGGATGTGATTTGTATCTTATTTGTATCTGACACAAATTTTTCATACTGGTAAAAGGAAAATGTCAAGATTAGAATAGATAAATGGTGAAATGATGAACCATTTGCAGAATAAAATGCAAATGAAATCAAGTCTGTATTGTCGTTTCACATCTACTAAACGAACAAAAACGCTCAAAGTAGTAGTAACAGCAACCCCTATAAGGCAGTTGCCATGAAACTTGCATGTTCAGTTATCTGAGGATGTGGCGGGGTATTGGGGTTAGAAAGATGGCTCCGCTACTGATTTTGTGACATCCAGGCGGGTCACCTAATTTCCTAATCCTGCTCATGTCCATTCACAAAACAGAGGAAGTGAAACCTGCTTCCGAGTTTGTTGCCAAGATTAACTCGGTAAAACTGACCCTTGGTGTGTATACCTTTATTCTTTTCCTATTCACACCCCACTGGGGATGTTGTGAATTACTACCCACTTTTTATAAAACAATCTGGCAATGCATTAAGAAGTTCAAAGTGGTGACCCAGAAAACCCTACCCCTGGGGATTTACCTGCAATGGAAGAAACAAGCAAACAAAAGAGCCATATGTGGGCACACATTGTTGCAGAATGATCTAAAATTAGGACCAACTGGGAAACAAACTGAATGTACAACAGCAGGGCAGTAGCTCAGAAAATCATGGCACAGTAACTGGTAGGAGCATTATATAACCATCAGAAGTCATGATTTTGGAGCCTCTGATATATGGGGGAAACTGACAAAGTAGTTTTCTAAACTGTTTACTCAAGAGTGAATGCATGTGTGGAAAATCTGAATTTTGGAAAAGCACCCAGAAATGGACATTTTAACAGAAGTGAGAGGTGATGTTCATGTTCTTTTTTGTTGGTACATTGCTTTTATTAAATAATGCAATTTTTTAAATAGGTCACATATCTCAATTTTTTAGATGATACGGACCCACAGTTTCCTCTGTGTCCTGTTTGCTGTTTTTTTTTATATGACCTCATTTTTTTTCCCAAATATTCTCATTTTTTTCTTGAATAGATTTATTAGTGACTAAGCAATTTATATATTAGGTTTTTCTTTTAAGGAATCAGTTCTTCGATTTACTTACCAATTCTAGTTTTTTTCTTTTTTGTGGTTGTTTTTAAGGATTCCTGAGTATAGTCGAAAACTGAGTCATTTCAGCCACGCCGAGGCATTTTGTCTTCTCAGAGACACAACTCCAGCTCAGCTGAACCACGACAGATGTATGTACCCCGTGGAATCTCTGGTCTTCTGAGGGTTGAAAAGTCTCCAACTGTCACAGAATATAAGGCTCTGGAAAGGCTGTGATCACAGGCCCCTGCTCGGGAGGCCACTTGGGTCTAATATATGTAACTCCTACCATTGCATCATCCTTGCAAAATCAGCTTGATTTTGCAGAGAAAGGGTCACAGCTTTCTCTACAATCAGGCTGAATTACGTAAGGAAGCCGCCATTTAAAAAATAATATAATAAAACAATAATCGCATAACGTTTCTGTACCACATTAACGCCGAAGGTGACTGTCCACCAGGTGACGAAAGGTTTTATGAGGTGAAAGTTTTTCGAAGCTGTAGTTTCATCTTACTTGTTCTTTTCTGCCTTTGGGATCTTACTTCCTCTCCCAAGGCAACTGTATCAGCTGTGAACGGCTTTGTATTAAGCATTCACATTGCACCGGCATCTAACCCAGCGATGGTGCTGCATTTAAAATAATCCTAGAGTGAGCACCGTGCTTGGCAGCGCTTACAGTCGGGAGCATTTTTTTTTTCCCTCTGCAATTTGTTAATCCTTTTTCTTCAGCTATGTTCTACTTATTACTGATGAACTATCATGTGATCACTTCAAGGGAAGTGTGCTCTTTCATGAGAAGCATTATAAATGTGGTTAAGTGTTGTGTGTTGTGTTCCTGAGGACCTAGTTCTAAAGCCTGGTTAGGAGCGCAGTCCCCTGGGAAGCTTTTATGGATCCCCAGATCCCATTGCTGTTGGCCCAGGAGAGGCTCCAGCAACATTGCTTTTTAAAAAGTTCTTCAAGTCAGTCAGATGATAGACCAGGTTGGGGGTCCTTGCCCTGTTCAATCCAGGCCTGGGCCTCAGGGGACCAATGCAACCCCACATCCCAAAATGTTTTGCAAAATGTTGTATAGTTTGGATCAGATTCTTGAAGGGGCAGTATCCTCAAAAAGATTCCACCTAATGACAAGGTTCCACCTAACCCTGGAAAGACAGGGAATTATCCTGGGGGCTCTGGGCAGTGGGAAAAGCTGGTGTCACTTCCCAATTTAACCAATTAAGTTTCAAGTTATAACATGTTCCAAGTATTAGAAGTTCAGCCCTTGGCACGAGACCATTAAGCTAGTTCCTAGCAGCTCTGCCTTATCCCAATGTATAAATGGGAGTAGGATGAACAGGGTAATAATCTGTGGATCTTTCTGGTAGCTTCTGTCAAGTTCCATTGCTCTGCCATTGTTCATACACCAGTGCCACGTGATCTTAATAATGCCTCGTGTAGCTTTCCAATGTATCCCGATAGCTGGCAGGCCAAGCGTGCCCTAGGTTTTCTTCCTGTTCAATGATTTTTTTCTGACTTCTTAATTTTGAGTATCATTTCATCATGTTCTTTAAAATCCCCTTTGAAGTCTGATTGAAAGTGTGTTGACTTGATGGATTATTTGAAGATAAATTGGCATCTCTCAATATTGGTTTTCTCAACCAAAAACATAGTATGCCTGGGTTTTGTAGTTGTTGTTGTTTTCTAGTCTTCCTTTACGTCTCTCAGTAAAATTCTTTAGCTTTCCTCCTACAAGTCCTATTTCTTTTTAGGTTAAATCCTAGATACTGTAAAAATTTTTTATTGCCATTATGGATGGAATGGCAGTATGGAACATTAGGGATGGAATGTTTCATCCATGCTAAATCTTCTCACTAATTACGATTAATTTGGGGACTTGCTGGTTTTTTACATATTGATTTCAAAAACTGCCACCTAATGAGCTCACTTATTTATTCTAAAGACATTTTGGGCCTGTTTTCCAAATAGAAGATTGTACTTGGCTGGAACTTCCATAACAATCTAAAAATCACAGCAACTTGCATTTTTTACTTGTTCATTATACAAATGGGACGCCTTTCCTTTTCCATTAAGATGGGATATAAGCCATGTGTTTGTGGTGGCAATTCTTGATGGAAGGGGACTGCCTCCGAGTTCTGTAGAAACTTTAATAGCTTAAACTTAAGAAATCAAGAATGGAGGTTGATTTTAATTGAAAACTTTTCAGTATCTGCAGAGAATCTTACTGTTTTGTCATCTTAACCTATTCATAGATTTCCTGATTTTGAGCCATCCTTGCATTCCTAAAATAATCCTTATTGGTCACAGTGTATTCTTCTTTTACTAAACTGTTAAAATCAGTTGGGCGGCATTTTCTTTTGGATTTTGGCATCCGTTCTGGTGGAGGCCGGGTGACTAAGGGCGTGAGCCCTGCACTTGAAATGCTGGGGTTTCAATCTCAGCCCTTGTCCCCATGTTCCCTTGGCTATAGACACCGCTTCTCAGGGGAAGATGCCCTGACATTTATCTCTGCTGGGTTCCCGACTCTTAAAACAATTGCCTAAACTGATACTTCTACTTGAACGTCTCCTAGGTAATAGCCAAGTTAATGTGTCCAAACCACAGCCCCCGGTTTTCTCTCCAAGTGGGGCCCTCTACCTGTCTCCCTCATTTCAGGAGATGGCATCACCCCCAAGCTAAATATCTTACTCACCATCTGTGTCCCCAGCCACTACTAGCACAATGCTAGAACCTTAGAGGACACTTAAATATTTGTTGAATGAATCAATATGTTATTGTACTATAATACTACATAGGAATATGTAATTTAGGACAACTTTTTCCTCCATTTCTTTTATGGTTCTCGGTCAGTTCAAGTTCTCTATGTATTTAAAAACTGGCACATATTAGTTGTTCCATAAATACTTGTTGACTGCATTAATTCTAAAGTCAATATTTATAATTTATATTTTAACAGAAAAGCAACCCGTTATCACACGGATTTTTAATTCATAAAACACATTTGCATTTGGAAGGAGGTTACCCTTTTAAAGCCTTCTCTTTCTAAGGTTATGTGGCCTTTCCCATTCCCCATGTGGAGCTATGTAGTGGGGTGTGTTTGTGTGTGAATTGCATTTTCAAGTCAGTTGATTTTATTTAGCAATTCCTCATTTTCCTGGGTTTTAAGTTCTACTTTCATCTCTTTTATTTCTTTATAACTACGATGCTTTATTTTGAAATTTTCTCTTTGTTTTCTTCTTTTTTTGAGTTGAATAATCATTTAATTTATTTTCATTCTTTCTGTTCAATTACACCACCCACACTCCTTTGATAGTTAGGTGGGTTCCTTTATTTCCACACCCTGCCTTCTTGGCATCATTCAACTCTTTTGTGGTTTTGGTTTGGTTATTTTTTTCTTTTTGACTAGACTGATAAGTGTAAGTGATATGTCATTTTTTTTTTGGCCCCATTTTATCTGATTCTTAATGATTTTGAATATCTTTTCAAGCCCTTTTGGCTTTTCCTCTTCTATAAATTATCAGTTTTTGTATCTTTTGGCCCTTTTGTCTGTTTTTGTCTTATTACTATTTCTTACTGCTTTTAAGAATTCCTTGTGGGTTCTAGAAATGAATCCTCTGTTGGCCGTAAATACTACAAATATTTTTACCATTATGTACTCCTCTTAACTTTGTCCGTAGTGTCCTTCATAGCATTAAACAAGAATCCTTAACTTTCATGTCATAAAATTCTTATTTGCCTCTTGGTTTGTGCTCTTTGTTTTAAAAGCCCTCCCGCCACTCCTCCTCCAGGTCACACAGGCGTTCACCTGTAGTTTCTTCTTCTAACAATGTGCTTTTCCCTTTCTAAGTTAGGTCTGTATTCCACCTAGAGTGCACTCTTGCACGTGGTGTAGGGGATCCAGTTTTATTTTTCTTCGGTTTCCCGGAAGCATCTGCTCAACAGCCTTCCTCTCTCCATTGATTTGTGGTGGCTGCTTTATTGTATATCAAGTCCCTACTAAAGTATATATACAAGGGCTTATCTCTGAATGTGCCCTTCTGCTCTCCTTGGCTGGTTGGTCTGTTCCTAGACTTTGACTGTGTGGTCTTTATTGCTATGGCTTTGTAGTAGGATTTAAGGTCTGATCCAGTAGATTCCCTTCTCTTTTCTATTCCTTTTTAAAGTTGAGTTTGCTATTCATGGACATTCCTTTCACCTTGTAAGTTTATTGAACTCCTCAAAAAGCCCAGGTGGACTTTGGATTGGCATTTTATTGAAATGACAGGTTCATTGGGGGGGGAGGTAATTGACAGACATCTTTCTAATACTAAGTCATCCCAGTCAAAGCCATGGAGTACCTTTCCGTTTTTATAGATAATCTTCAGTGGTCTTTACTGGAGTTATTTTTGTTCAAGTCTTATTTTTTTTCTCAGTTAAGTCCTAGATATTTTACAGTTTGGTTTGCTATTGTGATTATCTTCTATTTTTTTAAAAAGATTTTATTATTTATTTTACAAAGAGAGAGAGAGAGAGAACAAGCAGGGGGAGCAGCAGAGGGAGAGGAAGAAGCAGACTCCCCGCTGAGCAGGGAGCCCAATGCGGGGCTTGATCCCAGGAACCTGGGGTCATGACCTGAGCCAAAAGCAGACGCTTAACCGACTGAGCCACCCAGGATTATCTTCTTTCTTAAGTTTTTTTTCTAAATTGATTACTGCTGGTGTAGAGAAATGCTGTTGATTTTTTTTAGGCCAGTCTCATATCCCACAGCCTTGCTGAACTCTAGTACTGGGTCTCTTGTCGTCTCTGACCAGTCTGCTGGGTTTTCTGTGTATGATCACTTTAATTGCAAATAATGACGGCTAGCTCTTTCCTTGCAGTTCTTGCCCCGGTTATTTCTTTGTCTCTGCCTATGACATCAGACAGGACCTCCAGTCCTGTGATGATGGACATCCTTGTCTTATTTCTGATCTTAAAGGACATGCATTCAGAGGTTATCCACCAAGTATGTTTGCTGGTTTTGTTATATAACCTTTATCAAGTTAGGGGAGTCTCCTCCTATTCCTAGTCTGCTAAGAGTATTTTTTTTTTTTTTTTTTTTAGTGTTAAATAGGTATTGACCTCTGTCAAATACTTAATGTCTTTTTTGTTTGTTTTGTTTTTCACTATTTATTTT